CCGCACATATACTGAACTCGGGGACAGGCTCGGTCTCAGTTGGTGGTCAGATGGACCGCGTGAAGGGCTGTGTGCAAGGGCGAAGGGCCGTCAGGCATTAGGGGCCGCCTGTCAGCATTCTGGAGCACCGGGGGGGGGGGCACCCTGTCCCCTCACAGTGGACCTGCAGGGCGACGTGTGACCAAGCAGAAGGTTCTTGCCGAGCGCGGCATGGGCGATGTTATCTGTTGCTTCCCAGCCTCGTCAGTCTCCTAGAGCAGGGAGATGCTTCTCTCCCAAGGGCCCAGGTGATGACCGGCCCCCCAGGGCCCCGGCTGCCAAGGCACCCCCTCTTCCAGGCTGCAAGATCTAAAGACCTCTTGGGGGCCACTCTAGCCGTCGCCGAGGCACAGGGCAGGGACATCGCTTGTTCCCTGCTTTTGCTTTCAACCCCAGGAGGCCTGGGGCACCCCCACAGCTGCTGGGGTCCCCGGTCAGAGGCGCAGAGGGTGTCAGGGTCTGGGGTGGGTAGGGCTGGGGTGCAGATCTCACTCCCTGACTGTGTCTGTGGCTTCTCACCAAATGAGAATGAATCTCCAGCTTCAAAGGCCAGAAGCTGAAGCTCGAGCCGTTGCTGACAGCCCTCGCCTACGAAGGGTTTTGGCAAGAAGAGGCTTCCTGGGCACCAAGCCTCAGGCCCGGGCTGCCCCTGGGCTTCCGCTGCCCTTCTGAAAAGCGGGATAGAAATCGCGTGTTATCTGCAGCCCGTTCGGAGGGCCAGAGCCGCTTTCGGGGAGGGACGCATCTAGCTCTCTCACTCAAGATTAAGTTAAAACTGCCCAGTCCTGCCCAGGTCATCCTAGCTGCCCCCTCACCTCCGAGTTTGAAGGAGCTCCTGTCCTCTACAGCCCATCCTGGTCTCTTCTGCCCTCACTGATTTCCTCTCTCCGGGCCTTGCCTTCTTTCAGAATTTCCTGGGTTGAGACAGTGCAACTTCGTACTTCTGGTCTAGACCTGCGCCGTCCAATATTGTGGCCACTGGCCACATGTGGCTCTTGAAATGTGGCTAGTCTAGACTGACAGGTGCTCTAAGTCCAGAATACACTTCTGATTTCTAAACCTTAACACCAAAGACAAACCAAAAAAGAAAAACCCCATGCAATATTTCAGTGATCATTTTATGTTGATTAATTACATGTTGAAATGAGAATATTTTGGTTATATTTAATTTGGTACATTGTATTAATGCTAACTTTACCTGTTTCTCTTTTTAATGGGGTTACTAGATAATTTAAAGATGCACGGGTAGCTTGCCTCTGTGGGCCGCGCACTTAATTCTTTTGGGCAAACCGGTTTAGGCACTGAGATGAGCCATAATGAATTTAGAATCATTCCTTCAACTCAGCAAACATACTCGGAGCACCTGCACGGCGCAGGGTGAACTTTGTGACCCCAGCTTTCCATCGTGGCCACATTCAACTCAGGAGGGCACTGAGGAGACCCACACGTAGAAATGGGAACTGAAATCTGGACCCACAATCCATCTAGAAATCCTGAACAGGTGAGCGCTGGATTAGGGAGGTGCGACAGAGGCAGCCTGGGGTGGTGATCCTGTCAAAGGATCTGGGAGCAGACTATATCAAAAACATATACCTGGGAATTCTTACAATAGTGGCCTTCACAGCACCTTCGAATTTCTGGTTCCACTCCACACTCTTGGGGAAATATTTTCTGCCAGACATGTTCTGTGACAAGTTCTGAAGCCAAAGCAAGTACTTTTTCAGATGATCTGTTTGGACCGGATCTGGGCTTCCATTCCAGTTCCACTCCATTCTCTGTTCCATTCTAGCCCTGCGCAGAGCGGCGATGGGAGAGGCGTGCTGGCATCAGAGGGCAGCCCCGTGCAGAGGGCTGAGGCCACCTCCCACTGCCCCCCAGTGCCCGCTCTGCTCTGCTGCCTCCCGCTCCTCTGGGCGCTCACACAGGTAACTCCTGGGGCTCCGGGCTGTGGCCTGAGGCTGAGAAGCAGGTGTCAAGAGTGACTGTGCCCTGACCTTCACGAGTCCCCTGTGATAAGCCTCACCCACGTCCTCTGCTAGAAGCCACATTTTTCATCCCCTGAAGGCTCAGCTGTGTGACCCATCAGAGTCTGAAGGTCAGGACAGAGGGAGGAGCGAGGACGGAGTGGGCATGAGGAAGGAGAGTGGAGAGGCGGCACCCAGAGCAGACGGGGCAAGCCTAGAGTTGCAGAAGGGCTCCGGCTGGGCTGCCAGTGCGTGGAGACGGGAGGTGCATGTTCCTGGTATCCTGGGGGACTCAGAACAGGGAGCAGACCAGGAACCCAGGCCGCCCCGAGTCCTGCTCTCTCTGCATGTGTACTGGGGTGGTCCCGGGAGACCCCCCCCACTTTGGGAATGGGGCTACGTTCCCCAACTACCAGCTGCTCTTTCTCTCCAGGCGCTTGACCGCTGCTTTTTCTTGCTCCCATTCTCTCTCCCTTACCTGGCTCTCATTCTCTGTCCCCACCTCTTACCTTATCTTTCCCCTGAACCTGCCTGGCTTCCAAAGCCAGATACCTCCAGGCCCAAAGCCTCTGAAGGGGAAGATGGGAGGAGCTCGGAGCCTTGGCGGAGCTCAGTCCCTTGCTGCCCCAGGCGCAGAGAGGACAAACAGCAAGTTCTCCGCAGGCTGGAGAGCAGGTGCCCTGGGACCAGACTAGCGGTTTTATCCGGCTTTCTGAAACCTCTTGGGTGGCGAGGAGGGGCTTCTCTGGCTGTAACCATAACATGGAAGTTGGGTCTCCTGGCTTTGAGAAAGATGCTTCCTATCACCTCCCCTTCTGCTTTGCCCCAGCCAGAGGAAGGCGGCTATCGTCGCTGGGAGAGCCGAGGAAGCGGAAGGGCTGGCTCTCCACCCATCGTTGCTCATTTCCTGGCCAGGAACGGAAAAGTACACCACTTCGTCCCAGACTCCCAGCGCCCCGTCCTGGGTGCTCCCTTTCCACCTCCAGCGCGCTGCAGACATTGTGTTTCCTCCAGGGCCAGGGAGGATGGGGAAGGGTCCCGAGTCACAGCTCCGTCGTTTACAGAATGGAGAGACTGCACGTTGGTGTGAGCTCCATGGAAGCTCCAGGACATGATCTTTAATTGATGTCCCTGTCCCTGCCTCCCCGCCCCGAGCCCCAGATGACATATTTACAGGATGCTGTATGGAGCCATTTCCAGGCCCAGGCCAGTGCAGCCTCCCCTCCTCCCCGGGCGCTGCCTGGGCGGGGCGGGAGGATGCAGACAGCTGGGAGCCAGGTGGACTGGTAACAGGAAGTCCCGAGCCCTCCACATCCTCACGCCCGCCCCCACGCGTGTGCGCGCACAGGCCTGTCTGCACGTGCAGAGGTATTCACACTTGTGCGGAGATGTGGATCCAAATGCTTGTGCCAGGGGTACGACCGGCTGTGTGCCCGTGTATCAACGGAGAACGCCTTAGAGAACCGAGGCAGCAGCGCCCAAGCCAGTCCTTTCCCTCCTGCCCCTTGCTCCAGAGTGTGGGGCTGGCAGAGCCGGACTGGCCAGGCGGCGCCCCACCCACCCCCTTCTCTTGGGCAGTACCAGCTGGAGCTCAGTATTGAGGACTCCACTATAGCCACATCCGGCCACCCAAAAGGGTGTCAATGGGTCTCAGTCCCGTTTGCCCTGAGGGGTGGTGCAGATAAACAGGGAACCATTTCCTCTTCAAAGAGGCCCCAGAAACAGAGGGACTGGATGAAACAGGCAGTTCAAAGTCCCTGGGGTGTCCAGAAACCCCTGCTGAATCTGGAAGGGGTATTCCTGGGGAGAGGGGCTCCGCTCATTTGTGGCTTTCATCCATAAGGTAGCTTGACCCTCATCTTGCCCTTGCCAGCTGGTTTGTAAGCAGTAGAGCCGAGGCGACACTGTCCCATGGGTCATGGGGGAAGGCCAAGGGCGGGTCTCAGGATTCCTGCCCTGGCCTCAGCCTCTCTGTCAGGCTCAGCTGCAGTGGGGATCAGAGGATGGTAGGGGGAGAACAACTGTAAACTTACTACTCAGCCCTGGAATGGGGGTAAGGAGCAGAATGGTTTCGACAGGGCCTTGAGGACTTTTCTAGAAGCTGAAGATCAGATAGGAAACCTGCCTTTTTTCTTACCTCCTCTTGTACATCACAGGCAAAACCCCTAACCCTCCAGTCACTGGGCCACCCCTGGCCTTTCCTCCTTGGGAGAGTCCTCTCTGGGAAGATGGCCCAGCCTGGGACCCCTAGGCCATGCTGGGGGGCACCTAAACCCTGAGTCTGCCCCAGAATCAACCTTCTTGAAAGGGGGGTGGGTGCTATTTTATATCAGGGACTAGATTTTCTAGATCCCCAAATACATGCGTCCTGCCAGGGATAGCAGGATGGTAATTTTGAAATTGAAGACAATCTGGGACGTGTGGTCGTTGTGCCCATAACCGAGGCCTTGGGCACAGAACAGGCAGCTTTGGTTTGAATCAGCACTCATTCTTCTCTCCAAGCTCAGTAGGGCTGGGCCACGGGGGACAGGCCCTGCCCTTGCCTGGTTTGGGGACGGCTGTGTTCGATGAGAGGATTCCAGGTGGGATCATCCCCGGGGAGGGCCCCGGGGGATGGCTATGTCTCAGTTCCTCCGGTCCCTCCCACACAAATGTCAAAATATCCCCACAACCTCCCTCGCCCCAGCACCCCCAAAGTTACATTCATCAGTTAAGATTCAGTTAAAAAAAAATGTAGATGTCAGCCCCTTCCCCCTAAGTCCCAGAGAGCTAAAACCCTGGTCCCAGCTGCCTGGTTTTGAGGAGGGGCCGTCCCAGGCCCTGCCCACTGGGGGGGGCACCCCTCTTGCTGTGGCAATCGGTGATGATGAAAGCTACATTCACACAGGGAGAGTTGGTGTGCGAGGCCAAAGCCGCATGAGGTGGGGTAGTGGACCGTGACGGAAATGCCCCAGGCCTGGTCCACCCTGGTGGACTGAAGGGCAAGGAGGGCCACAGCCCCCCAAAACATCCTCCCCCCGCCCCACACCGTGGGGCCAGGAGTTGAAGGGCTTGGGCCCGGAAGACATTTGCATGGTGCCTCCCTCCATGGCTGGGCAGGGGGCAGCCTCGTGGTTCAGGGCGGAGACGGTGGGCGCCAGGCTCGGAGGGAGGGGGGTGGCACTTAGGCCCCTCCGGACCTGGAATGGAGAGGGGGCATCAGGGGAGGAGGTGAGGCAGGGCCCAGAGGGAGAGCCCCTGAGCCGGGGCCCTGGGAGGTCAGTGCTGGGCCCTAGAGGCAGCAAGTCCCAGGCTGGCCAGGGAGGGGATCTGGTGGGAATTCAGACAGCGGTGACATGGAAGACAAAACAGATGGGACGCAGAGGTAGGCTCCCCTCCCAGGAGAACGGGGCTTCGGGGAACACAGCTCCAGGGCCCACCTGGACAGTGGTGGTCTGGCAATTGGAAGGGCAGGAGGAAATGGACCAAGGCCTGGGAGGGCAGGTGGGCAGGAGGAAGGGGCAAGGGCAGGCTGAGGACTTTCTTCCCGGAGCTGGGCGGGGCTCTCCCACCCCTGTGGTGACAGCAGTGACAGCAGGGAGGGGGGGATCAGCCTCCAGCTCCCCATCAACAGAATGTGAGGTGACGAATGAGATGGAGGAGACAGGGACAGCGGGAGGGATGACGTGGCCGGCGTCACACTGCCCCCTGCTGGGTCGGGTCGTACCTTCCACGGCGGATGTTTCTTCAAGGAGCCAAGGAGAGGACCCGCAGAGAGAGAAAGGAAAAGGAGCCATCGGTGACCCTGCCCTTCTCTCAGGGAGGGCCTTCCTGGCTCCCATGAGACTCCTGGCCCCAAATATGGACCAGGGTCCCCAGGACCGGCTCACTAATGACAGGCCTAGGGAGCGATGCCTGGGTTTGAGTCCTGACTTGGCAGTTCCCTCCTCTGCACCATGAAGGCAGCAGACCAGCTTAAGGGCCCCAGACCCAGGTGCCCACCGACTACTGTGGGCCAGGTGGGGCCTCGGGACGGAGGACACACCCTGTTCCCACCAGCCCCTGCTCGGCTCCTCTCCACCGTCCTGGGATGCACTGAGGCCCAGTCTTCTCCTTTTGCAAGAGAAGCTGGGAACAAAGATTGTTAATGTAAAATCTTTTGGTGTTTTTGGTTGTTTGCTTTTTTTTTTTTTTTTTAATGTCTTGGAAATGTGAGCAAAACAAGACCATATGCCTGGCTCAGACTGTGATGTGTGAGCTCTGGCTTAGCTAACTTCTCAGGGAGGCCCCTCAGCTCCAACAGTCTGGGATTCTGATACCCCCTCAAAACACCAAGGGATGGGGGGCGCACGTGCATGTGTGTGCATGTGTGTCTCTTACTTAAATCCCCAGCCCGTGCCTCCCAGGACGATGGCTGCGACCAGGACAGCCCCTGCGATGGAGCCGATGATGATGTTGGTGCCGCTGGGACCTGGGGAGGAAGGTAGGGCTCGGTTGGCAAGGACAGGCATGCAGAAGGGAAGAAACAGAGCCCCACCCCGGCCGGCTCCAGCCTCACCCTTGTATCTCTCTGTCTCCCCTGTCGGGGGGGACGTGGGCAGGGGGTTGTGAATGCTGCAGTCTTTGCCTGTCCAATCTGGCTGACAGATGCACTTGCCTTCGTTGCTGCAGACCTAGAGGTGGGGTTGGGCCAGTAGAGGTGAGCGGTAGAGGGGGGGCTGTCCCCTCTTGGGAGCCCCTCCCACCACCCCTGGCCTCCAGGCACCCACCCCGTGGTGGGAGCAGATCCTGCGTTCCCCGCTGCCAGGGCAGGTGCTGAAGTTGAAGGCCGAGGCTGGCAGGCACCGATGATCCAGGCACAGCATGTTGGGCCCGCAGGCTGTGCCATCTTCCACGTAACTCAGGTCGGAGCCATCAGCCAGCTGTACGTGGCCCCCCCTGAGGAACCGGCAAAGCCAGCTTCAGCCCTTGCGCCCACCCCCATAATGGCTGCAAGCTGCCCCTCCCCAGGCATGGTCTCAGCCCATACCTGCAGTCCAGCTCCTTGCCCTGGTGGTAGAAGGTAACACTGTTGATGTCTCCCCCTAGGTCCCCCAGCCGAGGAGCTCCAGAGATGTTGACGCAGAGGAGGAAGCCACAGAGCACATCCCTGTTGGGGCAGCGTGAAGACAGTGGAGCCCCAAGTCTGACCTCCAACCCAACAGCAACTACTACTCCTGAACTTGAATCTGCCCTCTCCCCACCACCTGAATTTTTCCATATTCTCCACTGGGACTCCTAGGCTTGTCCTAGAACCTGCTGTCCCAACTCTGAAAACAAAAACCAAAAAACAAAACCCTCCTGGGTCCCAGAGCTGGGGAGGCCAACCAGGAGCCTTAGCAACTCACTGTTTATTGCACTGGATCCACCCTGACCCCTTGCGCCCACAGTTCCCACGCTCTGTCCCCTCCACGTTCAGCTTCTCATAGCAGAAGCGATCGGCAGCCGCTGTAAGGAGATGATGCCAGGTGTCACCCACTCACCCCAGAACCCACCCCAGGACCTCAGGCCTGCACCTCCAGCACTCTGGCCTGACCCCCAATACAGCTGGGTCACTGAGATCCTGAGAGCCACACACTTGGTAGAGGTTATTTACCAGAACTTACCCCTCCCCGGCCTCTTGATTCTGGGTCCTCCAGTGTCTCCTCTCCCATACCCCTAGCCAAAGACTCACCATGGCCCCAAAGGGCTTGGCACTGCCGATCCCGGGTTTTGCAGCGACCTCCATAGCAGCGGCCCTAAGGTGCAAACAGGAGACAAGGGACTGAGACATTGAGTGGCCGGAAAGGATAGAAGTCAAAAGATTGTTATTGAGCCAGAGGTCCAGAAGGGGAGGGGCCCCGTCATACCTGTTCATGATCGCAGTAGTAACCGTCCAGCTTGTGCAAGTTAGGGGGACACTGTGGACAGAGGGGCTGGTCTGAGCAGAGCAGCCCCAGAACTGAGAGTTGAAGATGAAGGGTTGTCAAATGCCCTCTCAGGGGCCTCATAGTAGTAGAGGGCTCTTCCAAGTCAAGGACAAGAGGTCTGGCTCAGAACTCAGACCACACAGGTTGGCAAGTCCCATAGCCTCTCCAATCTCCCTGTTTCCTGTAACTACTTCACAGGGCTGGGAGAACTTAATGCCACGTATTGAGGACTTAAGAGATGTTAACTAATAGTATCATACACTCTGATCCCGAGCGCACACCAACCCCGTTCCAGGCCCTTGGAACCCCAGCCAGACTATTCTGATTTAATGACGTTAGGAGCAAAACCAGGAGGCATGAAGAACTCGTTTCACAGGCGAGGAAAACGAGGCTGACCAGCAGCGGCGACGCCAGCAGCAGAGCGGAGGGGCGCAGATAACAATAGCCCCGCGGAGCCAAACCTATAAGGATCGGGGTTGCCTCGCCCGGGGACCCTCAGGGCGGCTGGGCTGAACGGACCTGGCTGGAATCCCCGGTGCAGGTCTCCGCGATGTCGCACTCGTTCACGGCCTCTCGACAGGACACACCCCGCGGCTCGTACTGGGAAGGGGATGCTTCGCAGCTCAGCCCAGAACCGCAGACTCCGCGCCCGCCTTCCCCGAGCCCCGCCTCTCCTAAGGCCTGGGCGCTCGGCTCCTCCTCGCCCCGCCCCCTGCCGGCCCAGACAGCACCGCCCCCAGGCCGGCCCACGGTCCCGCCCCTCCCACCGCCACTGGGTAGGTGCCCCGCCCCGTTTCTCATAGCCCCGCCTTCAACAGGCCCTTGGGGGCGCACGCCCCGCCCTTCTCCCTCTCCATTGGCGCTTTCTTCGCCTCAAGTCCCGCCCCTACGTGTGCCCCGCCTCCAGCGGCTCCTCCTGCCTAAGTCCCGCTCCTAATCGAAACGTCCGCTGCCAAGCCTCCTGGTACCGCCTCCATCCCAACCCGGCGGTAGGTGCCCCTCACCTTGCAGCGCCGACAGCAGAGTCCGTCGCTGCACATGGCGTCGTGAGTCAGGGTGCATTTCTTGCAGCAGTTCCCGCCCGCCCGGCTGCACTCCTGAGGGATGCGGGGACAAGGGGAGGGAGGTGGTTAAGCCTTGACCTTCCTCACCCAGACCTTCTCTGGCGCGCCCCGGTCCCGCCCCTGGCGCCGCACCCGTCTCTCACCTGCACCGAGCCACAGTCGCACTCCTCCCCCGCCTCCACGAAGCCGTTCCCGCACTCAGGCGGGTCCAAGAGCTGGACGGGGAAGCGGTGTCGGAGTCTGGCCGGGACCTTGCCCAAGCCTCACTCCCACATCGCCGTCCTGGGGCTGGTACCTTGAGGGGCTTGTTGAAGAGGCAGCTCCCGCCTCCCTCCTGCAGAAACTGGTTGTACTCGTCGATGCTGCAGCGCGAAAACTTGCGAGGCAGGTAGAACCTGGGCAAGAGTCAGGGGACCGAGCTGCTGAGCCCCGCCGCTCTCGCCCCTTCTCAAGACTGGGGATGGGATGCACGGGGCGGGGGGGGACTCGGTGACCATCCCGAGGAGGCTGAGGATCTATGTGCCCGGCAACAGTACGATCAGCCTCCTGCCTGCCCATCAAGCGGAAGTGGACAGGGGAGGTTCTCCTGTCACCTTCCCGAAACCTCAGGACGGCTCAGAGTTGGAGGTTGCAGAGCCGAGGGGAGAAGGTGCCTCCACGTGAGGCTCTGGCGGCTCCCAGTGGCCACAGCGCACACTACAGGCTGCCAGTTTCTGTGTGCTGGGCGGGGTGGGGTGGGGGGGATGGACACTGTGGGTCTCCTTGGGCAGGGTCCTCAGAAAACTGGGCCCAACAGCTAGGCCTCTTGAGGCCACTGGGTCCAAGACTGCTGCCCAGCGCTCCCTATGGTTCTCCCTCGCCCAAGACCCTGCCCTCGACTCTCCCCAAGAAAACTCACCCTGTGTCTTCCATGATGCAGCCCAGCCAGTTGTCCGGACATTTGCAGTCCCCTGAGAGGGAGCAGATGGATGTAAGGGAGGGTGGAGGGCTACCCCCCTCCCACGGACACCCTCTTCACTTCTAAGGTTGCTGGGAGTGGGTCTGGGCTGGTCGTGGGGCCACATGGGGTCTCCTTTGATACCTGCTGAGCTCCGGTGTTTATTCCACATCATGCCCAGGTTCTGCCCCAGCGTCTGGGCCAAGGTCACCGCCATGGCGCCCATGTTGTCATACTTGGGGTGAGGAAGATGGAGCATACAGATGTCTGCATCCCTCGTGCCCTTCACATCTCCCTGTGGCCCCCACCCCCACCCCAGCCATGCCCCACAGTTCTCACCTCATTCACACCCCCACCCCTGGACAGGGAGCAGATGCCCCCCACGTAGGCAGCCCCGCTACTGGCGCTCTGGAAAGTCCTGCCCCTGGAAGGGAGAGGGTTGTCAGGAGAACGCCGTGCCCTGCCCACAGTGGCTTCCCTAGGCTGAGAGGGGCAGACTGCAGAGCCTCCCGCACTACAGCCCTCCCTCGGGGAGGGGAGCCCATTCTCATGAGGCAAACCCCTTCCTCTCTTTGGGTTTGTTTGCCCATGAGCCACGTGAGAGGCTCCTATGAGATCATCTCTAATGACAAGGACCTTCTCTCAGATTTCTTTTTCCTTCTATCTGAGCACCGAGTCCCTGAGGAAGGGATGCTGGGACAGTTTGAAAGGAGAAGAGGGGACAAAAGGGGAGATGATAGGCGGAAGAAGATCAGTGGGGACTGGAAAAAGATGCATCAGCCTAAGATACAGGGGGAGATGCCCAGCCTGTGGCAAGTGGCTGGGGGGCTGGTGCAAGGTGAGCCCAGTTCCCAGACCCTGCAGGAGCCCCCGGCACAGAGTGAGCAAACAGCAGAGGCTGGTGGGACCCGGGTGGCGTGGGGGACTCACGAGAAGAGATGGGTGGCATCACTGGGCTCAGGGAGGCCCTCCCGCCGATAGACCATGAGCCGGGCTAGGGTCTCCAGGAGGTCATCCTGCACCTGGATCTTGTCCCCATCTGCCCACGTTTCCATGGCAACCAGCACGATGCGGGTATTGAGCTGCTCCTTGTACATCTGGGCCCCGAGGGAAGAGGAGGAGGGTGGGGGCACAGGGCTGGAGGAGGGCCTCAGTCTGTCTCTCCAGGAAGTGGGGATCAGGGGCTGCTAGGGCCCTCCAGAGCTCACCCCAAGCACGTGTGCAGCGGGGCGCTGGCAAGGGAGGGGAGGGAAGGGAAGGGGGGTGGCTCACCACATCTGCCAGGTTCACAACGGACTTGGCAAAGTTGCTGGTGAGGACCACCGACTGGCGCATCTGCTCAAACTGGGAGGAAAGAGAGTGGGCACAGGGCCAGGGTACTTCTGGCCTTCCTCCCCGACTTGCCCCTAGGCTGAGAACTTACCAGCTGGTGGTCGTTGACCACAATCAGCTCCACATACTTGGTCTCACTGTGCACAGTAGGGTGGCCCCGGCGGACCTGGGCGGTGGGTGGGCACTTGGGATCAGTCCCCTCCATGCCCAGCATCGGGGCCAAGCCATGGGCAGACTCAGGGGTGCTGAACTTCAGTCAGGGATAATGCTAGTCCCCCCACTGGTGGGGGTCCCCTCCCCACCCCCAGCCTTGGTAAGAGGGCAGGCAGCCTCAGTTTGTCTGTAATTCAGGTGGGTGTAGACACAGGCATTAGGAAATGGGGTTGGGGGCTTCCTCTCAGGCATGGTACCCTGGCCCCCAGCCACATTGGTCTGAGCCCTCCTTTGCCCCCGTCATGGATGGGGTGTCCTTCTGCTCTGGACCACAGCCTGGGGTCTCTGCAGCCCGAGGTCTGTGCGGGCCCCCGTACCTGCCTTTTCCTTCTCAGCCTCGGCCGGTTCACAGGAACAGAATGAGCAGGGGCAGCAAATAGGCATCCTGGGGAGAGGGGACAAGTGAGAGGGGCACACCCGGCCCCCTCCCCAGCCCCACTTTCCCTCCCTTACCTGGTTCCCTGCATCCGAGAGGGGCTGGGAGGAGAGGGGTCCGGTAAATGAGGTGGGGAAGGGGTCCCTGAAATGAGGGGAAATTAATTCTTGGGGGGGGCCGACCAGGTCTGCTACTGAACCCAAATGGGGGACAGCTCCAGCCCTTCCCCCCACCCCATCCCAGGGTGACCCAGAACTGGCCAGAGCTCCCATGTCGGATCTGATCTCCCAGATGCTCAGATTCCGGGGTCAAGACCTGGGGGCGCCCTGAGAGATAGGGGCAAAGGACACTGGAGCCTGATGGGAGGTTACTTAGGGGACAGAGGGGACATTGGAGCTGAGGGCACAGAGGGAGGGAACCAGAGCTGGGGTGACTGAGGAGGGCAGTAAGTCTGAGGTTACCAAGGGAGGAGGTGCGACAGCCATTGGGACAAGCCATGGGGATGCGCAAGTGCGTAGCTGGGGTGTCGGGGGGGGGGACCGTGAGGGGCTCACCTGGGGGGGTTCCTGAGACCTGGCCATCTCACGGGGCTCCACGATGTAGGTGAAGTTCCCATCAGAGAAGACCCCACTGCAGAGAGAGGCGCAGGTCCCCACCATGCATCCCCGGGCCAGGGAGGAAGGCTCTTCCCTTCCCCCCCTCCCGCCCCCTCCCTGCCCATACTCACTGCAGCCCCTGGCAGGTGGAGAGGGCGGCAAAGGAGTGGGGGTTCCCTCGGAGCTTCCCCTGGTAGTAGCAGTGGTCCCCGGCCCCCTGGGGGAGCAGCAAAACATGAGCAGACATGAAGGCAGGAGGAGGGCTGAGGGTCCCCGCGACCGCTCAGTGTGGGCGGGGTGCGGGCAGCCGTGGTCTCGGGGTGCCCCCGCGGATCGGGAGCCTGGTCCTACTCTGGATGCACTTCTAGTTTGCTCTTTCACCTGGGCCGGTGCCTAGTCTCTGGGCCCCCTTCCCTCCCCTACAAGATGAGGAAGTTGGGCTACATCAGTGGTTCTCAGCATTTGGGGGTGCTGGTGCGGGGTTCATCGATTCCTCTGAGAAGAAGAGCTAGCACTCTGACCGGGCTCTGTTCTGAGCACTCACCGACGAGCGCCCCAAGTTTATGAGAGCTGTGGGCTCAGCCCCAGCACTCACACAAGGGCACACACGGCGTGTTCACAGACACCACAGCCTCTGCGGACTGCCCCCGGACACGGTCTGTGGCTGAGCAACCATAAGCGCCATGTGTCCTTGGGGCCAGGGCGCTCGGGTCAGAGGGGACAAGCACCCCCTCCCTGCTCCTGAAGAATTACTTGTGCTCCAGTTCCTGAGCTGGCTGGTGGGGGGGGGAGAGGCTATTTATAGACACTCATTCATCTTTGCTCAAGCCCCTGGGCCTCTAGGGCTGGGACCCTGGTGTCCCAGGCAGCCAGGACTTCCCAAGGCCTTGGTGCTGAGTAAGAAGGGCATTTCCCCAACTGCCATCTCTGAGAAAAGTCTGGGCAGGGAGCAGGGAGGGTCTTTGAAAGCCTTGGAGTCAGGCAGAGAGGCCGGCTGGCAGTCCGCGCTGCAGTGGGGAACTGGATGAAGGGAGCTCAGGCTCCACACTGTTCAACACGCCTCTCGGACTCCCACCCTGGGGGCCTCCATGGGGAGAGATGGAGGGTCCCAAGGGGCTGGGCCCACCCAAGTATAGAGTATACCTTGGATCCCATCTCCACAGATCACCTGTCCCTTCATTCCACCTCCCCTGGCTCCTTCCAAAGGCACTCACGGTGTTGTGCTGGGTTGTCCCCTCCCGGCTAAAATGACGTTCCACATATTGCGAGGAGAGGAGGTGACTGAAACAGACAGAGGGGGGGCAGGAGGAAGGAGGGGGTCCGTGCTGGGGGCCGGGTCAGTTTTGGGCTCCACCCCAGCTCCGATCTAGGTCCCTTGACCCGGCCTTGTCCCCATCTCCTCACCCACCCAGGTCAAGGCCATGCCTTGCCCACCCGCCTGCTGCCCTTCCTTCTAGGCTCAAGGCCACACTCACTGGTTCAGCTCCAGGTCCAGAGTGAAGTTTGTGTTGAAGGCCGGGATGACGAAACTCACTTGGGCCAGGTGGACGGGCTGGGGGTGGGGGGACGGCAGAGGGGAGTCAACCCAGGAAACCTCAGAACAAGTTGTTGCGCTGGGGAGGGGATGGCCCAGCCCAGCAGCTAAAGGAACCATTGATTTGGCGAGAAAGAGCTCATCTTCCTCTGAGACCCTGTTCCTTTCCTGGGGGCAGGGGCAGGTGTATGCATCCCAGGGCACTGTCCACCCTCAGCCAGGGCACGGTGAGCAGCATGGGAGGCGGGTGCCAGCCCACCCTCTCTGGTGTAGGAGGCCCCCAGGGCCGGTCTATCTGAGTAGCAGGGATGGAAAGCAGTTCAGCCCGCCCGCTGCTTCAGGTCAGGCCCTCCCTGCTGTTGGCAGGGCCAGCTCTGCCCTCACTTCAGGGAGCCCCCAAAAGTACCATGGAAAAGGGGCAAACTGGAGATGGGGTGCAGGGTGACCCCCGGACCCTGCTGTAAACCGGGCTCCTCTCTCCTGCCTCCGGGGCTCAGCCTCCATTTATGGAGAAAGCTCGGACTTTGCAGACAGGGTGGTGTGGGTTAGAATTGGAAGCTGGAGCAGATGCCATCCTGTCAGGAGGAAAGAACTTGGCTCCTCTACCCCAAAGTCCATTGCCCTCTGCCTTGCCCAAAGCAGTTCATCTTTAATATTTCAATCCCATGGTTAATTTTTAAACACGGAAGTTTTCCTGATAAATTTTTCAAAGGGGCCTTTGCAGTGGGGCTGGGAGGCTCCAGGTTGTCATGGCGACGTACCAGGTCTGAGCAAGATGGCTGCCCTACCCGGTCTGGGCACCCAGCTTCCATGGGGAGTGGGGACTCCAGGCCTGAAGCTCATGTGCCTGGAGAAACAGTGACCTTAAGAGAAGAAGGGGCGGGAGAGTCTGAGCTCAGGGGATAAGGGGGGCTCTCATGTCCCCACTCCAGGTCTCATCACAAAAGACCCGGGGAAACATATCAAGGTTCTAAGAGGGACTAGAGCCTTCTCCACACCCTTATTCATTTCAGAAGACTGAAACCCAGACCCCCAGGTGAGGGTCCCACCACTGGGCTGTGCAGGGGTGAGGCTTTTGTCTGCTGCCTTTCTCCTGGGCTGCAGGACGGAAGGGAGCCCCAAGGTCATGAAATCTCATAGCCTGTGCTAGTTGGCTTCCTTATCAACCACCTAGATTTCTCGTTTTTACTAAGTGCTATCATGTGCCAGGCACTGTTCAAAATACAAGTATTATCATATTTGATCTTCACCACAAGCCAGGGGGACAGATGTCCCTGCTACCCTCCTCTGGCAGAGGACAGAGGACAGAAGGGCACAGAGCCTAACTAACTTGCCCAAACTCACACAGCTAAGAAGTGGTAGAGCTGGGATTCAAGCCTGCAGAATCAGCTTCCAAGGCCTTCTCACCCCAAAGGTGAAGCAAGATGAAAATGGCCCAGTGTCCATGAGAGGCCCTAGGAGAGGGGGGCTGAGGTGGGGTGAAGGGTCAGAGCTCGGGTAGGCAGCCCTCTGAGCTCCAAGGACACTGACTCACCCCATCCCAGGCTGACTGAGCTCAAAGCTCTATCCCAAGCCCCCAGAGCGTCGATCAGACTTGAAATAGAACATCAAGGACAAGGAGTCACTGCTTTCCTCTTCCTGCCCTGGCCTGGACCATCTCTGCTTTTTCCCTGCCCCTGGGCCTGGACTACCCTTACCCTTCCCACCCTTGCCCTTGGCTTGCACTGTCCCTGCCCTCCCTCTCCTGTCCTCTCCTGGGCCTCGTCTATCTCTGCCTTCCCCACCCATCCCCGCCGGGACTACCTTTGCCCTCCCCTGCCCTCAGGTCTGTACCCACTTGTTCTTTCTGCCCCCCCCACCCCAGCTCATAAGCCCCCATCTCTGCCCCTACTGGCTCCCCAGAGGAGCAGCCCGTCCTGGCCCCTTGCCTTGAGCCCACTCTCTCAAACTGTACCGCTTCAGAGATGATCCAGCAGCCTCCCTGGGCCTCAGGTTTTCCCACTGAAAATGGTATGATGAGCCCAGAGAGACGCAAGGCTGTGAAGCAGGCTTGGGTGGTGAGGGTCATCCCGGACCAGGAGAAGTCTGGCAGCATCAGCCCTCGTGCTAGCAGAATGTCCACCACTCAGGAAGTCAGTAAGCTCACCCCTACAGCCTCCCCCATCTCTGGGGAAAGCCCAGACTGTTGGAAGAGCAGACACAAGGTCCTTCCTGTCCCCACCACCTCCCGCAGCCTCATTCTTCCCCACCTGCGGAAGCTGACCCAGGCCAGATAAGGGCACCGGCTGCTACTGGGGCTGGGGGCTGGGCGCTGGGCGCGAAAGGAGGCAGGCCCAGGGAGGGCTGGGGAGCCACCAAAGGTGCTGGAGGAAGGGGAGGGAATTCAGAAGGCTGGGCAAGGGCTACATGGGGCAACCCCTGTCTACAGGAAGAGAAAGATCAGGCAAATCCGCTTCAGTCCCCAGGAACTCTATACCCCAGGCAGCTGGGGCGGGGGCTCCTCCTATCATCAGACTCCTAAGACCCCCACCCACACCCCTCACCTGAAGACCTGAGTTCTAGCAGAGCCAAACCACTCCTTGCTTGGTCCGCCTCCTGCCCCTGACCTGCCCCTGACCTCTCCCATTATCCCTCAGTTCCTCCCCTGGGAGTCCCTCCTGTCCCCTGCCTCCCGCCCGCCCTCCTCCGTGCCCAGCTCAGCGCTGCTGGTGACAGCCGGCCGGGCCTCAACCCCATGCCCTGCTCTTGCCTCTCGCTCCCCGGCCATCCGGCTTTCACGTGCCCTGGCTCATTGGATCTCAACCCGCCCAGGTCGCCTGGTGCTCATTTTACAAATGGGAGGCCAAGGCTCAGGGAGAGACACTTGGAGGTGACTGGCCCAGGGCCATGCTGGGGAGGTGTGGGGTCAGATCTCAGCCCCGGGCTGGAGTTCACGTCTGCCCTGGCAGCTCGGCCACCTGGCTTCAGCGACTTTGCACTGCCCGAGGCTTTCTTGTCAACAGGCATTGGCTTATGCCCCATATTGGGCTCAACCAGATTCGGGATGCAGAAGGAAGGAGGCAAAAATCCCATTAAAGTCCCAGAATCATAAATACAGACGCCAGGCCTCTACCCTATCTATACTCCCAGAATCACAGTCTTGGGAAGGGGGAGACTGAGGACCTCGGGGTTCTCAGATGCTCCAGTAAATTCGAGTGTCCAAGCACTGTCCTTTAAGCTGTCACCCCAAATCCCTCCTCTGGAACCCCCATCTCCTCCCATGGCTTTCCCCTCCTCCTCCTCATCCACAAAGCCCACACCCCGCAACACACAGAGGGCTGTGGCCCCTCTACTCCTAGGCCTTTAAGCACACACAGGGTTCTGGACATCCCTGATCACCGATTCAACTTTTCACAGAACATGCCCATCTTCTTCCCGGCCCAGGAGCTCAACACACATGTTGAATGGAAAAGCATCAGAAGGCCTGAGCCTCAGTTTCCCTACTGGTAAAATGGGGTTGTCATGAGGGTTAGACGGAAGCCATTCTTAACGCATTATTATCACAAGGAATAGTAATCATAATCAGAACAGTTGAAGAACGAAGTGTAAATGTTCCAGATGATCAGGGCTTTGGGGAACTAGATGAACCACATGGGCTGGGTCGTGGCAGAAGGCGGGGAGCCAGAGACTCAGGGACCCCACCTGGAAGATGTCCCTTCCCCACAGCAGCTGTCGTCCACGATGTGCTGGAGCTCAACTGATCAGCGGGACAGTGGGACTTCCAGACAGAGCAGCTGAACAAATTTCTGATAATGGGATTTGACCTACATTTTTGAGGACAGAGTCACTTCCTTAGAGGGTCATAAGTCCCTCTGGGATCAGACTCTGGGCAACGGGGTCCCTCTAGACAGCCAGGAGGGGGGTGATCAGGCGAGGCCAAGCCCGCAGGCCAGAGTCTGGTTGGGGAGAACTCAAGACTCTTGTCTCATTGTCCCTACCCCTACCAGCACCACCCGGAGCCCGGCAGGTAACCCCCAAATGCCCAGGCTTCTGTTTCAGACACGCGCCCTCATGCAGGTGCCAGCTGCCTGCACCCAGCCACTGATACTCGGGAAGAAGGGAGGCCTCACAGATGTTGAACATCTGTTCTTGCCAGATCCTAGGCAGGACACCTAACAAACATCATTGCCTCTGATCTTCCAGGCAGCTTGGCAAAACGGAGTTGACTCTTAGCTCCATTTTACGGATTAGGAATGTGGGATTCAGAAGGCAGCTGAACCAGGAGCCACCAAGGCTGCTCCCCCCACCCCACAAAGCCTTTCAGACCCAAGCTTAGTCTCCTGCGTGAATGATCTCTTCACTCAACCTCATGGCCGGGCTCACAGCTGGGCTCAGTTCATGCCCCTTGCCTCTGCAGAGCAAGTGGGGGGTCCAGCACAAGTCTCAGGGGTGGCTTCTGGCCACCAGCCCCGCCCCCCGGGGAACCGCCTCCTGCCTCCAATCCCAGGACAGAGCTGTGACCTTGGCTGCACAGACCAAGCATGGCCATGGCCCTAGTAGGGTATGAGGGCTCCAGGCACAAGGCCCTGTGGCTCCCTGCTGAGGACTGCCATCTAGTAAGGGCTGGGGACTGAGCCTTGCTGGATTGGCCCCAACCACCTACAGCAAGAAAACACAAACAGTGAAACACACACCCTCCACCAGGGGCTTTGGGGGTAGCATTTTCAGTAAATGCGGGTCTGGAAAGCTTTCATAGGAGCTCACCCCAGTGACTAGGGTCTCCCTTCCTCTGTCTGGCTCTGATAAGTGTGTCTCCTAGGCCTGGAGCCTGGAACCTCTCCACCCCCTATCCTGTTTGCTTCCCCACATCCTGCCCTTTTCTTGGTTCTGAAGGAGTCTGGGTTTCCCTAGGGGGCAGACATGACCCACACAGCAGCTCTGGGTTGACTAGAAAAAGAGTCCCCTCAGAAACATGTAGCTGCGTGAGCCCACAGATATCATTCAGTCCACTTGCCTGGGCTCCCTTGTGCAGTGAACAACCAGCCCAACTGCACATGGTGACCCTGCTTGTTCTTCTGTCTCAACCTTCAGCTTTAGGGTCCCTGTGACCACAAGTTTCTGTACTTCCAGAAACTCCTCCACTTCTCTGGGCCTTAGGCCCAGACTGCTTCCAAACTGGACAAAAGCAAGGTGTTGAGAGCAGTGGTGAAGAGAGCAGAGGGTCCCCCGTGACACCTCTCACTCACTCTACCCCTGAGCGGGAGGCAGGAGGGCTCAGAGTATCAACCTGGGGCATCAGCCTTGACTCAGCTACTTAAGTGCTGTGTCACCTTCCTTGTTACTTGACCTCTCTGTGCCCATCTCCCCACCTGTAAAATGGGAATAATGACAGCCCCTTCTCCTACAGCTGTGATGATCATTAAATATCTCAATATGTGGAAAAGCATAACACTGTCTGCCCCAGTAAGGGCCCAAAAATTGTCATTTCTCTCGCTTCTAATTCTTTCCTCGCTGCCTTCCTCCCCTCCACACCCCCGTTCCACCCCAAACCCAGGAGCCCTCAGCACACAAAACCCTTTCCTATCACCACCTCCAGGAGGTGGATGAGGCTGAGATTAATGTTACCATCATCCCAATTTTAGGGATCAGGAAGCTAGGCCTCAGACAGGTGATGGGACCCAGCCAGAGCAGGTGAGTGCCTCAGGTCCCCCCACCCAAGTCCTGCCAGCCAGAGTGCTCCCCCAGACTCGCCACCTGATCCACAGCAAAGAGAGATCTTGCCGCTGCCCCAGCACCTCGCTGGTCCCAAGGTCCCAAACCGATGCAATAATTCTGGACAGAGCCCAACGCGCCAGGGCGTGGCACTTCTGGTTGGGACAGGGGCTCAGGGCCGCTCAGGCTCCACCCTCAGCCTCCGACGGTCCAAGGCCAGAAGGGCTTCAGGGAGAAACGCTGGGTGGGAGCAGAGGGTTGCAGTGTCTCCTTCCAGTAAGGGGGAAAGATTCTGGACATGACTTTTTGCCTCCCTTGGCCTTCTTTCATCTTGCGGGTGGTGTTGCCCGGTGCCAAAACAGATCCCTGGAGGCGGAATGGTGCGGTGGGAAGCACCTGGTCTTGGAGAGAAACGTTCTACTGCTTGAGATCTGATGGACTATGAGCAAGTTACTCAAACTCTCTGAGCCTCAGTTTGCTCATCTGTAAAATGGGCAGGCAAAAGTTTACCTGCTTTGTGGAGTTGTGAGAAATTCACCTCAGGGGAGACTGAGTTTCAGGTGAGGCAGGGCTACGATTCCCCTAGGGAGGCTACAGGGAGGTCCCTGGAAAGGCTCAAGGCTAGAGAGACCCCCCACTGGAGGTGAGCACTGCCCCACAGATCCACGAACCCTCCACTCCTACCCTCACCCCCTCAGACACCTCGTTGGCCACATCCAGACTTGGTCGCTCAGACACACATATGCCACCCACTCACCCAGCAGAATGACACCCAAAGAGACTCCCCTATCATCTCCAAACGCAACTCATCAAGCCCAGCTCCACCCATCCTGGTCCCCCCACACAGTCCCAGGCACTATCATAGCCCGGAACCACCCCCCACTCTCCATCCAGGAAGGACTAGGCTGAGGGAGCTCTCCATTCTTCATCTCTACCTGCCCCCTGCCTTCGTCCCTCACCTCCCTCTGACCCCACCACAACATCACTCCATCTTCCTTCTGGACCTTCCCTGAAGCACCCGCCAGGGGCCCCAGCAGTCAGGCTGGGCGGTCAACTCCTAACCAACACAGGTGCACAGTTCTGGGGGGAGGGGTGACCCCAAGAAAGAAAGCTGGACCAAACCCAGCCAGGACACCCCATCTCTGGTCTTGGGACCATCCCTGCGGCCCATCTCCCACCCCCTCCAAGGAGCCTGAGCAGACACTGAAGGCTGCCTCCAGCCCCTTCCCTCTCACCCCTGCCCACAGCAACCCACCCCCACCCCCACCCAGGTCTGCCTGCCCAGGACCATTAAGTACCCCCTCCCCCTCCCTGCCTTGAGTGATGGTCCATCTATTATGCATGCTGCCTTCCTGCTCCATTCCATTTCCCGCCTATCCCCCTGCACCGCCCCCTCACAAACCCTTCCACCCCCCCTAAGGGCTTTTAACCAAGTACATTAGGCAGGGCCAGATGCCAGTCTGACAGATGTCTGTAATGCTAGCCTCCGTTTCCCTCCTTCCTCCCTTTGCCCAGCCCAATTTACTTCCCACCACTCCCAGCTGCCAAAACTTCCCAGGCTGTACCCCTCCTCGGAGTCTCTCCTCTACACCTCCTATTCCTGCCAGGCCTTTGCCATCTCGCCCTCCGCTGCCCCCGGTTGGCCTGGCTACCTTTCAGCTTCCAGCTCCTGGAGAGCCGAGGCACACTGAATGAATATTCCATCTGGGTAATTATTATTCACATGATATTAATTAATTATTAATTGCAATTAATCTCCTTCATTCCTAACCTTCCTCTGGGAGGCAGGAGGGGCCTGGCAGCTGAAATGGACGGGGGAGGGGGCCGAGGGGTGTTGGGGAACAGGGCCGGTGGAGTTGGCATTTGTGGGTGATCTTGGGGCCTCCAACCTTTTTCCAAGGCTCCACGCTCAGCGAGGACAGCAAGAATTGACAAGCCTGTCCGTGCACGGAGGGAAACTGAGGCAGGAGCGAGCATGGAGCTTTTCCAAGAAAGCCCTCGGAGGGCGGCCGTGAGGAGAAACAGGAGCCCTACTTAATCCTTGCCTGGGCTCTTAGCGGCCTCTCCCTGCCTCCTACTGCCCTGCCTAAGCCCCATTTGATGTAGAACCACTTGCTCTGGCAGGAGGGGATTGGGGGCGGGTAGAAGGCTGACCCAAAGCTGGACTGAGTCCTCATTCCAGGGTCCACCAAGGGCAGGGGATCCCCATGATGATTGGAGGGGGGCCTGGAGTGAGGTGGGTGCTCCCCACTAGTGGGCTCCAGCACCCATCCGGTAGGTAGCCCATTGTACAGAAGGAGAAGCTGCAGGAGCCAGCTTGCGGGGTGGGGGCAAACCCTGGCTGTGGGGGCCCTTCCTTGGGTTCCAGGCCTGCTTCAGCCCCCTGGCCTCACCACCCAGCCCCACTCACCGGGCCCCCTGGTGGCTCCTGGCGGACCCTGGTGTCCAACTGCTGCTTTCGGACCTCTCCCCCGGAGCTCTCTCCCACCAGACGGCTGGGCTCTGTGACCTCAGGGGCTCCCGGTTGCCCCAACTGGGGTGAGACCCGCCAGCGCAGAGCTCCGAAGGGACCCCGGGTCCCAAGACCTGGGGAGACAAGGCCAGAGCTGCAGGCGGATGCCCACCGAGGGGCAGGAGACTTGGGACTGGGGTGAGTCCACCTCATCCCCCCCACGCTGGTGTGGCCCTTGGAGCCCTGGGCCGGGGGGAGGGGGGTGATCTGGGTGGGAGGACCTGCTCCCCTGCAGAGGGCAGAGCCCGATGGGGAGGGGACAGGAGATTCCCTCCAGCTGGCCCGTCACGACTGCCCCCCCACCCCAACCCGCAGAGACCTGCAGAGTCCGCCGGCCGGCGGCAGGGGGCTGGCCGCGGTGGGGCGGGCCAGATGGGGACAGGTGGGTGCACGCGCCCTCCCTCCTCCCTGCCCCCCACCCCCGCGCTCGGACCTGCTGTTACCCCGAGCACTGCAGGAAAATGTGGCTGCAGCAGAAAGCGCCGCAAAACCCGGGGCGGGGGTAGGGAGGGCGCCGGGGCCGGGGCGGCCGGGCGGGGGGCACTCACCGGGCGGGGGGAGCCGCGGCAGCAGCAGCAGCAGCAGCGCCGCGAACGCCCAGCGCCGCAGCCGCCTCATGGCTCGCTCATAATCCTCCGGCTCCGGGGGCTGCGGCTGCGAGCGGCGCGGCGCGGGCGGGCCACACTTTCCTGC